ATCAGTTCATTTATTTCGATGGCAAATTGGTACTGGTGTATGCCATTAAATCAAGTCCGCCATACTTTCTTGCATGGAGCCTTTAAAAGGAGAAGCCTTCGGCAGTCCTTCAGCCTATTGTTGGTACTTGTTACCACTTAGACTACTTCTCGTGTGCCTTATTCTGCTATCAATTACAAACATCTAGAAAACAAATAGTTCGTAAAACTGAGTAGGTTTAATCGTTTTCGACTTCAAAACCTACCGGAGGTCCTTGAGGTCCTTGACCACCAGGAGCTCCCATTGGCCCAGGTGGACATATGTGACATTGATCACTGGGCATCATTATCATCTGTAGCACAGTATCGCCATCTAGGCCTGGAATTCCATCTTGGCCATCCTCTCCATCTGTCCCGTCCAAGCCTATAAATTGACAGAAATCAGTTTCAGCCACGAAAATCCAGACGATCTTGCCCAAGTCTTGAAGCTCTTCGTCGAGCATCCAGAAAACTTGGTTATAGTATTTTCTTTTAGTTATTTTATGTTTCACTTTATTATTTAACTCATACCAATATTCTTGCGTTATTATTGCAAATTTAATGTGACTAAATAATATAGCAGCAAAACCACTATGGTTCGTAATTAAAGTATCTAATATCGTAGTTAAAACTTTATAATAATATAATTAAAAAGTGTGATAAGCAATAGATTTTTTTAACCTGGTGGTCCGGGAGGTCCTTGGCATTGCATTGGATCGAATAGCTCAGTTCGAAACATCACTGAGCTAGCGTCTTGAACCAGTCTTCCCAGTTCTTCCTGCATCGCATGAAATTTATCTGCACCGGCTAAGTTTTTAGCCTCGACATATGAGGCTTGATACGGAATTCGATGATCGTTTATCATAAATGGAACGGTTGTTTTCGTTGTTCGCTCCACTGGACTTATAGCTAAAAATAACAAGTAACAAATAAAAATGACCAAAATTATTTGAAAATAAATTACATAGTTTTACTCTTAATTTCAGCAAGAATCCCAAGACTGTTCGAACAATCAGCTTGGGTTTCCCTTTTAAGTTAGTGATGATAGTGAAATTTTTCAATGCGCCAGGAGTGGATATGCCAAGCTTTTCGATCATGGCTTGCACACTACCAGTTAATTATCCTTCTCTATGCCAACTCATTGGAGTCTGCTCAATTTTGTTGCTCCCTCGCGGATGCCACTCACTAATGCGTGACTTATGTGTACTGAGGATATTAAAAATAAAGCAATTTAAAATACCGGTACCTTGAGAAATGTAACCAGGAGGCATGCCTTGATCCTCTTCCACCACCTGGTACATCTTGAGTGGCAATGGTATAAAACCTCGAGGAAATTCAACATATGAGCCTGAAAAAAAACCATACATTCGAAAGCAACCTCAATTACCACTCACTGGAGCACTTTACCTACGGCTACATCTCTGACCAATAGCTGCAGCATGCATATGCTTACTTTTTTGGAAAGTGTAGTTATCAAGTTCCTTGGTCAGTTTTAGTTTCGCTTAATTTTACTTCCACGTGTTTTACCAGGTGAAAAATTTTGATGATGCTGCTACAGCATCACAAAGCAAGATCAAGCCATTTTAGACTACTCGGCTAAATCCCTGTCTTACTCTCTGGTAAATACATCTCGAATTTGAACATACTTGGATTTGTTTCGGTAAGAGGAGCGCTTTGTCGTTTCGGTCGGAACTGATTCTGGATCGTTTGAATGTCGTTCCATAAACGATCATGCTCACGCTGCAAATTTTTTAAAGTCATATTTTTAAGTACACTTTTGCTTCACCTTGCTTACATCCCCAACTGTTCAATTTATTCAAGTTTAAAATGCAATTAAAAATAGTTTGATTATCATTTTACTCCAATCCTTATTTGTTTAGCGAGAAAAAATATGTTTCGCTCCATTGCCCTCTGTGCCATAGTCGGCACTCGCCCTTCAAGTCAGTGACCACGTTTCGCACCCGTACTTTATTGCCTTTAGCACGATAGTACTGAAGAGAGGGATACAATACTTATAATTTCGAGAACATCGATAATGCGGTGAAATTTGCGCTAACAAGTTTACATACTAGTGCAAAATTCACAACATTATCTGGTCAGTCATTCCACGCCCAATCTCAGGCTAGAGAATGTGGCGCATATTACTTTCTTTCTAAGGCAGACAAAACCGTTTATTTGCACTCTTATTAAAAACAGATAATTTAACCTTGAAAAGTTTCATGTTGTTAGTCGTACGCCGGTGAAGTGCATTCAATTGGCCAATGAGCACTGGAGCAACAATGAAACAGAGCACAATAGCTAGGGCACTGAATGTAACCGCTATTATGCCAGCTAAGTGTCCTTCTGATACTGAAAAAAATAGGTAAGCGTAAAATAGGCCATGTAGTTTGGCAAGAAAAACAAGCAGTTCTCATTGTAGCAAAGAAAGAACTATAGAATCTCAATCTTTTTTTTTCCACTAAAACTCTGCCGAAGAATATTTCCGCTGAAATCCTGCTGAAGTGCCTCTCTTGAATGAAGCCATCAGAAGACAGAACGACAAAACGAATGTCGGGATCGCCACCCATTTAATAGATGGTGAAGATGCTAAGAACTACAGCTGATCAAAGTATCAAAGTAAAATACCTGTGTTGAAAAAATAGAGTAGGAAATAAGGGATCAACCTAAATACCGTGTGTAACAAAACATTTTAGAACGCAGCCTGTGTTTCATGCCTTTCAAATTTTTCATCGCCAGTTAAAGATCCACCCAATATTCTTCCAGGAAGCACACTTTTGAATGATCCATTCCTAAGTTTTTAAAGCATACTTCTTCAGTGAGGTCGTTAGAATTTCCTCAAAGCGATTTTTAACTCAGATCTCTAAAAAGTAGCCTTCCTGTAGAATATTTTGGATCAGAAAAATTTTGAAGTTCTCTTCGCAATCTTCAGCGCCTGTTCACCTT